CCTCTTGGTTCTCAGAAATTCGGCCCCCTCCACCAACATCTCCCTTGTGTGCACACATGTGAAGGCCCGGGCTGCACACAGGAAGAGGCCAGAGACCAGGGAAGAGAGGAAGCAGGGGGGGGCCGAGTCACCAACCTCACTGGCCAATCCATCTGCAGAGCTTTCTGGGCAGGGCAGGGCAGGGGTGACTTGGCTGCTGTTTCTGGGAGGCTCTTCCTGGCACTAGCTGGGAGCCAGCCTCTGCTCTGGGGCCCAGGGAGGATCTGAGACAGCCAGGGAACAGGACCCATCTCCCGGAGACCACCAGAGCTTCCCCAAGCCACTCGGGTTCAGGACTGCAACAAGGCTGCCCAAGGGTCCCAGAGTGCAGGGGGCTCTCGGGTCCCCAGGGCCAGACCAGAGACAGACCCTGGCCCCACTGCTCCCCCTGCTCCAGCCTCCTCCTCCGCCTCCCCAGGAGCTCCCATCATGAACCTCACCTCCCTTCCCTCCCCGTATCTCCAGCTCCGTATCTTCACTCCTTGCAGGCCCAAACAAGGCCGATGCTTCTTATAGAGCCACCTCTACGTCACCTGCAAGGTCACAGGTGAAACAGGGAGGAAGGCACAGGTGGGCAGGGCTATCACCTCCCAGCCCCTCGACTTCATGATGGCTCATGGTTGCCCGTTTCTTGCCAACAGAATGGCACTTAGAAATACTCGAGAGCCACAAAGTTTCCTGCGCATCTGGAAGGAAAGAGAATGCTCCCTCACAGACACCTGCACTTCCTGTCTTTTGTCACCTCCTCAGTGATGCCTCCCCAACCCCTGGGCAGACCCATGGCCTCCCAACCCCTCCCCTGCAGTGTGACAGTGAGCCCCCTAGGCTGTGACCCCTAGCGTCTGCCACTGCTGCTCACTTCAGCCTCCAAGCTTGCTAAGAACAGGGACATTCGTTTTTCTCCTCTGCATTCTTTTTTTTTTTTTTTGTCCAGATAGAGTGGGAGGGAGAGAAACATTGATGTGAAAGGGACACACCGAGTGGTTGCCACCCGCACGACCCAACCAGGGCCGGGGACAAACTGCAACCGAAGTACGTGCCCTTAGCAGGAACCAAACACGGGTCCCTCTGGACCTCAGGCTGATGCTCTAACTGCTGAGCCAAACCAGCCAGGGCTCCTCTGCACTCTTAGCACATAGCCTGGGGTCTGGCCAGCACTCGACAGCTGGGGAAACTGAGCGAAGTCAGACTGCCCGAGAAGCGCTCAAGCACCAGATTGGAATCCCAGTGCTGCTACTTGTTACCAGATGAGCCTCAGTTTCCTCATCAGTGAAATGGGATGACAGGAGAACCTACCCTCAAAGAGTTCATGCGAAGTGAAGGTCTGAGCCCAATCAAACCGGGGCAAGCAGGGACGAGTGAAAGGTGTGGACCGCTCACTCCCAGCGGGTGCCAGGGAACTCCTGGAAACACCCACCAGTGTGGGTCTGACTAAGCACCATCAGGGCATGGAGAGGTCCACCTAACACCAAAAGGAGCCCACAGTGCCACAGCAGCTGAGACCCTGGGAGGAGACAGGAGGCAGCCACGGAAATCAAACCACGGATCTGTTAGAAAAGTTCCAATGGGAGGCTGTCTCTCTGTCTCAACTTCCAGTTGTCAGTGTGCTGTCAGAAACCAAGGCGCTGGCTCCATCACACTCTGAGCCTTACACTTTCCACATGTGAGGCTCCAACCCCCCTCCCAGCGCTGCCCACAAGATCCCTCCCACACATCTCTGCCAAGACTAATTCATGTTCCTCAGATACTCCTACTGCAAGCCTTCTTCTTCACAGAGCGTGTGGCTGAAAGCACTTTTAATGTTTCACAAAGCAAACAATCCTAGCAACGCTGGGTGGGGGATAAGGGGAGAAAAACCAAATACATCACAGAACAGCCTTAATAAAGGGACTTATGTTTCAGGGCTCCCTGTGATTTTCACATCAGGCACCGTCTTTATAATTTGGCAGCTAAGTGAATGAAACAGGGCTCCTCTATAGCCACGTTCCCAAGCAGACCACCAGCTTACATCACACAGGCAGCTTTCAGATTTGCCAAATCAGATGCAAATACAAAGCTGGAAAGATAACTGTGGCGGGCACAGCTCACTGGCCATCCCAGCACCCCCCGCCCTTCCCCAGACATCTTGACTACAGAGGCTAAAAGGCCCAAGCCTGTTTTCACAATGGGAGCTAAAAGAACATCAGTGGACTTTTGCTGGGGGTTGCCAAGAAAGTTCTTGCTTTCCAAATAAAAGAAACAGTCACTCTGCCCCTTCTGTTTTTCTCAGTCTTGAATGGAAATGTGATGTCTGGAGCTGCAGCAGCCATTTTGCAACCATGAGGCAGGAAGGAAAGGCCAAAAGAACATTGAGGCGCCAACTCAGAGCCCTATCCCACCCAGTTCAGTCCAGCAACTGGCATTTGTGTGGAAAACGTAACTTCCCATTTGTTTAAGCCACCATAACTTGGGTTTTCAGTTACTTGTAGCTGAAAGCATTGCTAACTGATTCAATATCTCACCCTTACCTATATAGCATATAATGATACAATATATTCAACACTATTTCTATCATACCAGGTTTTAAAGTAGATGTTCTATCTCATTTAATCTCCTCTGAAGTTTCAGACCCATTTATCCAAGCACCTATTATGTGTACGTCTCTACTCAAAGGTCTTCTGGCCACTGCAAACTGAAGAGTCAGGCCTATGTCTCTTCCAGGACTCCAGGCCCAGTAAGTTGCTTCATCATCCACTTGGCGTCCAAGTCAGGGTCTTCCTACACATGCCCACCCAATATATCACCAAGTTCTACAGATTTCACTATCTGAATATTTTTCTAACCTACCTACTTCTCTCCATTACTCTCGTCTAAGTCTACCTGGACCACTGCAACAGACTCCACGCTGGCCTCTGTGTCCACACTTGCCCTTTCTAAGGTGAAATTATTAAAACACTGTCTGAACATGTCATTCCCTTTCTCAGAATCCTTTGATAGTTTCCCATGGCCCTCGTGATAAAGTCACCCTGACCAATGCTCCAGCTTCTCCGGCCTACCCTGAGTTTCTTCTCTTGGCTCAGTTTCTGCTATACGTACTGACATTCTGCTGGCTTCTCAAACTTGTCACACAGATTTCTGTTTTAGGGCTACCACACATGATTGTTTTTTATTTGGGGGCTCCCTTCCAGCTTTATGGCCTACTTAGCTCTTACTCGTCTCTCTGCATCCCAAACAGTGAATTTTCTATGTCAGATATTGTATTTTTCTGATCTAGATTTCCAGTGGGTTTTGTTTTAATAGTTTTCATTTCTCTTCTCAGATTCCCCATCTGTTCACTCATTATGACCACCTATTCCTTTAAGTTCCAGACCATTTATATAATAGATGCCTCTAGTTTTATTTCTTAATTCCAACTTCTGGGTCATCTCAGGATCTATTTCTACTAGGTTGCCTTTTTATTTCTTGATTATGGGTCACAATTTCCTGATTCTCTGCAAGTCTGGTAATTTTTTATTATATGTTGAACATCACAGATGAAACCAGCCTTGCAGAGAGTCTATATTATGTTGTCTCCCTTTAAAGGTGTTGACTTTTGTTCTGGAAGTTCCTTTTAAACTGTCAGGCTTAATTTATCAAGGTGTCTATTCCGATTTAGTCATCAGTCCTAGGGTGTTATCAGTATGTCTAACATATGGTTTTGGGGGGTGTCAACTGCGTACTTTTGGCCGGGTCATAACTGCAAGGACTCAGCACTGCACCCCGGGTGTCTGCTCTCCCCTCAGCCCCACAGCAATCCTTTTCCATCAGGCCTCACAGCCTGGCTTTGTGCAGCCCTCAGCCAAAAACCTGCTGTGAACATAGATCTCTGCCCACCCCTACCACTCCCTCTTATTCTGATTTTCAGGGCAAACCAAGGGCTGACCTCCAAAGACAGCTTTTTCAATAAATCTGCACAGGAGTTCAGCAAGAACCAAGCAAGTCACCATGGTAACTACCATTTCTGATGAACAGCTGAAAATTCACAGCTGACAATTTAAAGAATAATGCCCCTCAGTTAGGTTATTACATTTCCAACTTGAGGCAGAGATGAAAACAAAAGAGCTAATTAGGTGGTTTTACAAAGATGCCAGTTACAGAGCCATCTGACAGATCTGGAGGTGACCTGGCATCCCTCCCTGTAGTGGACCCCGACTGTCAGCGAGAAGCTCCCACTGCCGGGATGTGACAGAAAACAATGTCCTCAGCTTTGCTTTTCTCATTTGGTCTCTCGATATTACCGAGTGCTTTAAAGAAGCAAGGCATTGTGTTAACCAGTTCTAATGAGTAGTTTTCCAAATCCATATGCTATTCTCAGCTACATTCTGGGTAAACTGTAATGGGAAAATAGCCTCAGTTAAGAGACATCTTTTGAGTGAGAAAACTGGGGAGCCTGTATCCCCATGGCACTGGTATGGTGAGCTGGCGTACTGCAGTTCTAACTCAGCAAAATCTTGTAGTGGTCAGAAGTCATGTATAACTTTGTGCTTTCTTTGCACATAAGTATAGTGTTGAATCTGACCTGAAGTCCATTTCAGTCCAGTATCCTGACTCCGAATGCCATTCACTCTCTCTGGAGGTCTTACTAGAACCATACAAATGAAGATATGTATTCCCATTCGAGCTTCACTGCTAACAGCTGTGGATAAAGCTGTATGTTTTTTGCCCTCTATGGCAGGACAGTGATCATATATGTTGAAATGCCAGCAAACAGTGGCCTACAAAGACCTCCAGATGCCACTCTCGACTTACAACTGAGAGACCCCAACCCATTACCCTTGAACTGAGTGGCGCGGAAGCTCGTGTGCTTCCTGTCTGTATGCCCAAGGTTCCAAGAGCCCCTCCTGGAGCCCACCCCCGACATGAGGCTCTCCAGTACCCAGAAGACCTGGGGGCTGCCTGCCAACACGCACAGCATTACTGGGAGCCTCCAGGCTGACACTCACCTTTGCGTAAGCAGTGGTCTTGATGAACCACTGCCTGAGATACTTCTGTTCGACCTTTGCCCCGGAGCGCCAGGAACAGCCATGCTCATCCACCTGCTCGTTGGCAAGCACTGTTTGATCCACGGGGTCCCAGTTAACCAAGGCCTGTTATCATTTATGGAACAAAATGATGCAATCTGGTGAGTACGATGAAGGACCACTTCCAGGCTCCTCACACTGAGAGGTCTGCAAGTGCAGCATCCCTGTTCTGAGAGGCGGGGGCATCTCCTCGGAGTATTGCTGGGCAAGGAATCCACTAGCAGCTGTAAAAGAGCACACAGGCCCTGGCCGGTTTGGCTTAGTAATGAGAGTATCAGCCCATGGACTGAAGGGTCACAGGTTCAATTCCCAGTCAAGGGCACATATCTGGGTTGCAGGTTCAATCCCAGACCCCTGTCAGGGTTGTGCAGGAGGCAATCAATCAATGTCTCTCTCTCACATCAATGTTTCTCTCTCTCCCTCCCTCCCTCCCTTCCACTCTATCTAAAAATCAAAGGAAAACTATCCTCGGATGAGCACTAGCGCGTGTGCACACACAAGCACATATGCACACACACGTATGCGCGCACACACACACGCATATATGTGCACACACGCACACAGGCACGCACACACGTGTGCACGGACTGCTTCTACACCTTCATCTCAGTGGAGAACAGTTGGGAAGGAAGCTGCAAGCCTGTGTCTAACTCAGGTTTGGTACATTCTTGCATGAAAGGATGAACCTACAGGGTTGGAAATTTCAGTAAACAAAAAAAGAAGAAACAACGGTAGCTCTCTTGTCTCCCCATCAGCACCTGCCCCCCGGAAGGTAATAATTTTGAGATCTGAGTAGTTTTGTGCCAAAGAGAACCTGTGATCTTCACTGCGAAGCTGCTCTCCATAGAGTTCTCATTCATTTCCGTCTTCGGTAGAACCGACACCAGCCCCGGCATCATTCCCTCCCTGCACTGGGGCACGGTTTATGGCAAGAAGGCAACAAGCAGAGTCTGGGCACTGGAATAGCCTGGCCTGATGCACATGTCAGTTTTAAATTTTAGTAAGACATTCTAAGGAGAGACTGTGCTGCATATTGTCTATCTGCCCCTCCAAATCCTCTTTCCGCCCTCTTCTGCACCCCTGGAAGCTGACCTGTGTGCCCTGCCTGCTGGCTGGGTTCAACCAGTGAAAGGCTCCCGGGCTCGCTCCCGCTGGGCCTGGCTGGCACACCGAAGGTACAGCCTCTGCCGGGCAGGCCTCTCCTCTGCCACAGCTGCCCCCAGTTCCAAACCTGCTCCCCAACATCACCCTTTCAGCCTGGGGTGGGCCAGGCTTCCTTCTGCTGCCAGCACCAGGTGCCCGACCATCCCCGTGGGTTTCCCAAAACTGCACAGAAGCAGCCCTTCACCACAGTCCTTCCAGTTATCCCCCCGCTTCCTGCCGGGACCCTGACTGGTCCAGAGATGTGTCTGAAACTTACCTGAAAAGTCGGGGTGGAGAGGCTAATCCACCCACAGGTTGTGACTTTACAACTGAAAGAAGCTTATACACTAAAAAGCGTAAGCCTGCGAAGCCTACCGTCAGCGTGGGAGAGGCAGTGAATGATCCCCTCATTCTAGGGCCCCCAAACCCCAAATCCATAAACACAGAGACACAATATAAACCTTAGACATAGAAAGTGTAGGTAATAAACCAAGGGTGCGTTACTTGCCATTACTGCCTGGACTGGGGGTTGAGAGGCATACCACTTACAATAAACAAGGTGAAGAGAAAGAGCCAAGTATTGTTTAGTATTGTGGAAAGTTCTTTAAAGAGGCAGCTCACCCCCCCCCCCAAACCCACACAGAACTGAAACTGTATAAAATATGAAAAGGAGAGAAAAAGCCTTCGGGCGTCCACTTGTGCGTCCGGCCCTGCAAACCTCAGAGGAAAAGGGAGAAGCAAACCCAAACGGCCTGATGTTCTGACCAACAGCTCCCACGGGGCCTGGCCTCTCCGGCTCCAGGTTACACAATGCAAGGAGGAAGACGTGTTCCTGAGAGGTCTACACGTTATACTAAAACCCCAGTGTCAAATGAAAGACAAATAAAAGCTAAACACAAAAGCAATTTTTTTTCCCCAGTGAAAGTCTTGGGGAAAGAAGAAAAACACCAAAGGAAATAGCACTTCAGATCAAAGATGCCATCAGCTGTGAGAACCCACTCTCGTTTCTTGCCACGACCATGACCCGCCTCAACAGCAGTAAGGCAGGGCCCAGGATCAGCTCCCCGCAGCGGCTATGCCCAAGGGGGGCCACCACGCCAGGCCCCGGGCCCGGGGAGCGCGTCATGCAGCCCCTGAGCCCCGAGCAGCTCCCAAACCCTTTTCCCGGGTCTCCTCTCATGAAACGGTCTCAATCACTCCGCCCCCTGGAAGCCAGGTCTCTTTACAACATTGCCGGGTTTTCACATTCGATGGGACACCCCAATTTTCAAGCAAGCCCAGTCTCGCTACATAGAACACAGTTGCTGACCACCTCACCAACTGTAGTCATGTCCCTGGCTGCATGTATGTTCTCTTTCACCTCCTGAAGCCAACTCCAAGCTCCTCTGGATCCATTAGCCTTCCTGGTAAGACACAGCCTGTCTGCATTTTTAAATCAGCCTCCCATCACTGCTGAGCCACTGAAGCCCTGCAAACACACTGAGCCCAGCCCACCTGGTCCACTGCCCCCTCACAAAGGTGTCTGGCAACACTGCAGAATGAAGCCATTCCAAACAGGAGACTGTCCCCAGCTGATCAAGGGTTAAATGTGAGGATTAACCTTTTTTGTCTGAGTGATTATGGGAAGCTTGCAGAGGGCATCTTGGAAACGCCCCATCACCCCACCAGGCTCTCGGAGATACAGGCGGCGTGGACTCCATGGGTATTCTCGGGGGTGACCATCCTGACCTCGAGTCTCTCAGCTCTCTACTGCGACACAGCAGCTGTGGTGCCCCCAGCGGCGCGGGCCTCCCGTGCCACACCTCACCCTTCTCATCCCATCGTCCTCTTGCCTTGGGATCTCTTCCCTCGCCTCCCCGGGCTGCACCCTTTACACGGGGGCCGCTCCCTTCTAGATCGCCCTCCATCAACATGCCTTGTCTCCTGGCCAGGGCTTCGCTCCGTGGGCCTCTGCTCCTCTCCGCCATCTGCTTTTTCCTGCTCACGCTCTGCCCTGATGGCACCCAAGATCTTCCTGAGTACACTGGCATGCAGCTTCAGGTTCCAGAAGGCTGGTGAAGTACATGATTTACGGTACTGGTTTTCTCAAAGTCTATTAGCGTTCTTCTTGACAAAAGCTTGCTTAATTAAGGAACACCACATAGATCTTATTAAAGGATGTAATTCTCAAAATCGATATTGTTCCATTCCATCCAGAATGGGCCTAAATTTGGTCTGAGTCCAGGGGAAGGTGGAGGGTTCCCAAGGCGACTGCCACCACCTTCCGAAGACACAAGGGGCAGAGTGGGAGAGGCTGTCTGTGCCCAGAGTGTCCTTCGGTTTGCTTCCTGAAGACGAGGCCGCAATGCAACCCCCCTTACGGGGGAGAATTAGCACTACCACCAGCTGCCACTCAGATCGTGGAGACGACCAGAGACAAACTCGGAGACAGGAACTCTCCACAGTTCCCCAGAGTGTCCGACCACCATGTAGCATCATTCTTCTCTCTAACTACATCCACGGAATAATTTTTTTTTTAACCACAGAGAGTTCTCCCAAGCAGAGGTCTTGGAAAACTTGTATCTGCCCATCATGAGCTCAGAGCTTCTCAAAACTTAAAGACTCTTCCGAGGACAGTGTACAGTGAAACATGTCAACACTTGGAAGAGCTGCATAACTCACTGAATCAGTACATCTCAAATGATCAATGCATGATGTTACAAAATTATGTACAAAGTGCAAGATAGACCAATCCATTTTAATTTAACAGAGTACAAAAAGTTTGCTGTTTCAGATTCAACACTGCAGCTAAACTTGAAGAAACCACTAATGCCCGGCTGGTGTGGCTCAGTGGATTGAGCGTCATCCCAAGGACTGAGAGGTCTCGGTTCGATTCATGATCAGAGCACATGATCAGGTTTCAGGCTTGATCCCCAGTAGAGGGAGCGCAAGAGGCGGCTGATGGATGTTTCTCTCTCACATCTATGTTTCTCTTTCTCTCTCTCTCTCTCCCTCTCTCTCTCTCTCTCTCTCTCTCTCCCCCTTTCTCTCCCTCCAACTCTATCTGAAGATAAATGGAAAAATATCCTCGGTTGAGGATTAAAAAAAAACACCACCACTTGTTGACTTTTGCTCTAGTATTAAAGAAGAAGAGCCAATCATATGTCGTGGTTATTAAAACACCCGCTTTTCAAACAGGTTCTATTCATTCGTTCTTCTGGTATTTACCATTATAACTGTAAGTAATACAATTATGCTTCAACTTTGAATATTATCTTCAGACAGTTCTGGGCCCAGGGCCATGCACGAGGCTCAGCATGGTGGGCCATACAGCCTCCCTCCCACCCTCGACCCCTCTTCCAGTTTACGTTATTTGTGTTAGCTTTAAACTACCTTTCTAACTTCAGAGCAAAAAAAAAAACAGATGTAAGCCTCTAACTGTTCACCTCTGACTCCTTGCTAGGAAAGATGAAGGTCCTCTCACACTTGCTTCTATCTCTCTTCCCCAAGTTTACCTCCTGCGTTTTGTTAGCTACATTATTTTTATGTTGTCAAGGTTCAAGACATTTTTGTTGTATTCTGAAATTCAAATTGCGCCTTCTGCATCAGTCTCTGTTTTTTTGTTTTTGTTTTTATCCTCATCTGAGGACATTTTTCCATTTTTTTGTTCAGGTAGAGTGGGAGGGAGAGAGAGAAAGAGAGAGAGAGAAACATCGATGTGAAGGGACACATCGAGTGGCTGCCACCCTCATGACCAACCAGGGCCAGGGACGAACTGCAACCGAGGTATGTGCCCTTAGCGGGAACCAAACCCAGGTCCCTCTGTACCGCAGGCCTACGCTCCAACCGCTGAGCCAAACAGGCCAGGGCTGCATCAGTCTCTGTATTGACTCTAAAACTTTTCAAATTTCAAACATAACGGTGATGTAAGTACCAGTCATGAGACCAAGCAGAGTCTTGTGGCCCACAGGACAGTAGGTGTCCTTCCATGTCGTTAAATCCTCTGGTCAAAGGGGATGTCTTTCTACTTGTTACTTCTGAATTTTCTAGACCAGCATTGTCCAGTAGAATGTTCTGTGATGGTGGAAATTTCTAGATCTGTGATGATGGATGGACCTCAATCTTCAATACTGATTAATCTTCATTATTTTAAATTTAAATAGCAACGCCACATGCCTAGTGGCTAAAGTGCTGGACAGCGTAGTTCTAGGCCACACATGATACACTCTCCCTCATCCCCCCACCTAAGGCTTATCTACTATTATGGAGCTCTTACCATAACAAGCACCTCCCTTTCTTGAAGGACCACTATGTACAGGCACTATGATAGATGTTCTTTAAATATCACCTGTCTTCCCAAGACCCTGCAGTGATGATCTTACCACCCCACTTGGCAGATAAAGAAGCAGGAAGGGCCCTGGCCGGTTTGGCTCAGCGGTTAGAGCGTCGGCCTGCGGTCCGGAGAGACCCGGGTTCGGTTCCCGCTAAGGGCACGTACTTCGGTTGCAGTTTGTCCCCGGCCCTGGTTGGTCATGCGGTGGCAGCCACTCGATGTGTCCCTTCACGTCGATGTTCCTCTCTCTCTGTCTCTTCCTCTCTCTCCCTCCCACTCTATCTGTACAAAAAATGGAAAAATGTCCTCGGGTGAGGATAAAAAAAAAAGAAGCAGGAAGGTAGGTGGCCCAGCGGCACACAGCTGGGAGAGGCAGCCGAGCCAGGGTCTGAGCAGCCTGCACGCCCCCTCTGCTCCCCCCCTGATCTCAGGACAGGCACCAGACACTGACGTGATGGGAATTCGAGAGTGAAAGAACCAAGCCCCGTCCTGGAGGCACCGCCTAAGCCAGGCAGCAGTCCTCTCTGGGACGGCCGGGATCGATGTCATGTATGTGAGGCGGGGTTCATTTTCACAGCTGCTGTGCAAACAGGCTTCATCGGTTTCTTATTTAACAACGATGTGTTCTAAGAAGATGGAGAACATTTACAAAAACTTTAAAGGACAGCTAACTAGAACTTACCTCCTTCTGATAGGCCAGCCCAGCGTCATAGAGTTTAATAAAGAGGTACTGAGTCCATTTGTAGTAATCTGGTAAACATGTAGCTATTTCCTGCCGAAGAGGGAGAAAAAGTCACACATTGGCCATTGTAAACACTTCCCCCAACGCCACACAGGCATCGGCTTTAAAAATCATTTTGAAAAGCGATCACACTGCAAACATGTGACCACCTATAATGTTTGCACCCATTTATAAGTGAGGGAAGAGAGACGTTACTGAAATACCAGCCCCGCGTTCCCAGGGCATGTGTAATGATGAGAAACTCAACCTGAATTCTTCTGCATACATATCATTAACAAGTGAATTATATTGTACGAAACGGGAATGACCATTTTTGTTAACATCTTTTGGGGGCCACGAAGCTGATTCATGACTGCCGTTCACAAAATTCAAGAGGAATATTTGCCTGCTTTCATACCATCCTCATCTGAAAACAAATCTTGTGTTTCCACATGTCACCGGGGCCTGGTTGCTCCCTCAGACTTATTACACCCGACTCACTCCATTATGTGAATCAGGCTGGTGTCTATGTAGGAAGACCCGCTAGAAACATGATCAGATATTAAACTCAGCGAGAAATCACCCGGCTTGTCTCTCCGAGCCTAAACAGTAGTTTCCCCACATGTCCTTTCTGTCCTGAAAACATATTTGCTGTAGAATCTTTACAAACAGGCCAAGGATGAATCCCGTGAGGTCCAGCGGGCACAGCCGAGGGGACGTCTAGCCCTCTCCCCGCTCCCGGCTCCTGTCCTCGTGCTCTCGGCTCAAGGCAGCTGGCAGAGGGGCGGGCAGGGCAGGGGCATTCCAAACGCTTCCACCTCTGTGGACGCTTCTGTGTGACAACTCCACCTCTCTCCAGATGACTAAATGAGAGAGAGAGGAAACCCAGCCGGGAGGGCAGGTCTGGTAGGAACCGAGCAAGGGGTCTTGACCAACTGAAGGTGCTCCCATTGGTCCATTTCTCTTATGTAAGATTCTTATGTATTATGTCCTTTTATGTGCTGATAATGAAAACAGCAGAGTAATAACTGCTAGGAAACAAAACATTCTGATCACCAGCTCCCCCCTCCCCTGCAAGGCCGAGTGAATAACCAGCCCGTCTAACAGCTTCGCCCACACTATGGCTGTCCCCCGGGCCGGGTCCGTGCAATGACAGAACGACAGCCCGTCCATGCTCCCAGGTGGCACAGACACCAAGTCTGCAGGAACACCGGCACACTGCGGGCCGACTTGCTCCCCAACACCTCCAAATCCACCCTCACCCCATGGTCTTCCCAATAGCTACCCCTCCCTGCTGCAGGTATAGCACAGAATTTGTTTTCCAGACAAGCAACTGAAGAACTTGCATTTCTTTTTTTTTTCTTTTAAAGGAAAAGAGAAATATCAATTTGCTATTCCACTTATTCATTCATTCATTGGTTAGTTCTTTTTTTTTTTAAAATTTTTGTTACAGATGTTTCTCCTTTTTTACACCACTGGCACCCCCATCCCCATCCCCCCTGCCCCGTCCCCGGCTTTGTTGTCCATGTCCATTGGTTATGCATACATGCGTATAAGTTCTGTGGTTTATCTCTTTCCACCCCCACCACCCCCTCTTCTGAGGGTTGTAAGTCTGTGCCCTACTTCCATGTTTCTGGGTCTACCATATTCCTCAGACTGTTATGTACATTATATTCCATATAAAAGTGAGATCATGTGGTATTTGTCTTTTTCTGCTTGGCTTGTTTCACTTAGGATAATACTTTCCAGGTCCCTCCATGTCGTCTCAAAGGATAAGAGATCTTTCTTTCTTACAGCCGCGTAGTACTCCATTGTGTACATGTACCACTGCTTTTTTATCCATTTGTCTACTGATGGACACTTGGGCTGTTTCCAGATCTTAGCTATTGTAAATAGTGCTACTATGAACATGGGGGTACATATATTCTTCCTGATTGGTGTTTCAGCCTTCTTAGGGTATATTCCTAGAAGTGGGATCACTGTGTCAAATGGCAGTTCAATTTTTAATTTTTTGAGGTAACACCATATTGTTTTCCATGGTGGCTGCACCAGTCTGCATTCCCACCAGCAGTATTCTAGAGTCCCCTTTTCTCCACACCCTCGCCAACACTTGTTGTTTGAGTTTGGTTGCTTCTTATATGTGCCCTGACTGGGGATCGAACCTGCAACCTTGGCATATTGGGACGATGCTCTAACTAACTGAGCTACCCAGCCAAGGCAAGAACTTGCATTCTAACAGAACCCAGGGCAAGAGCTATGTCTGGATGTTTCATTTTGTTCATCACCGTCTGCTCAAGTCCTGGCCCCCAAAATTATTGCTGAATGAAGAACAAACTAAATAGACATAGAAACTCCTGCATGTTGAATCAAACCTGTAGGTTTCTCACACTAAATTCAAATTACTTTGTCAGTCCACAAGAACTAGGGTAGTGGGTGCGAGAATGTGGTAAAAATGTTCCCAGACCTTGTTAGTGTTTGATTTTTCAAATGCTTATTCATTAGACGTTTAAAAAAATGTGTCAAGTAAATATGAAAAAAATGACAGTTGTTAAATTTAGGAGATGACAGTTCTCTTTCTCTACTTTTCTGTATAGTTAAGATTTTCATAATATAACATCAAGACACTTCTAATAAATATATATAACATACGTACATGTTACATGCATGTATGTTTCCTCAGCCCTGAATCTGCTTCCACAGATTGAGAATAAAAACTATACAGCAATGGACCAGCATTATTATCTTCATGTAGGTTTATGGTTTTGGAAATCACTTTTACCTAAAATAGAAAAACGATGACAGATCCGGTGAGGGGGACAGAAGATGGTTATCCCGCCAAGCACGGGCCCACTTTCCATCTGCCATGAATGCAGTCGGTCTCTTCAGAAGGGTCAGCTCTGAGCTGCTGCGGGGTGGGCAACCACAGGCCCCTCCCCCACCTGCCGTCCCACGGGGTCCGACCTGAGTTATTTACACTGGGTTTCTGCGCATCATGAAGAAAGATCACGTCAGCTGCTGAAAGAAGACAGCATGAAAACCAGTGCTCCAGGACCTTCATTGCACCCCGACTGTGGACCTGCGAGCTGGACCTGGGCCAGAGGGGAGGGGCTCAGTGCTGCCCGCTTAGCCGGTCTGACCGGAGCTGATGCTCACTCTGATACAAAGCAGCACCCTCCCCTGCCCCCTGCGACACACTGGGTCCTGGAAAGGCTGCTGTCCTGACCTGGCCACTCATGCAAAGTGATTTCTTTACCTGGCAGCCTTCACATACTCGTACCCGTGACTGTCCTCCACTCCTTACCCTACACAATCCTTTGGTGCCTGCCAAGCCACGTGATGATCCATTTATTTTGTCTTGCAGCTGCCAAAGACATGCCTCGTATGTGAGTTTCCCCTAATAAGCTTTATTAATTACCAACTGGAGTGGCAGCCACTTTCTTTGGTAGATTTTTGTTGTTGTTGTTGTTGTTAATCCTCACCCGAGGATATTTTCCATTGATTTTTAGATAGAGTGGAAGGGAGGGAAGGAGGGAGGGAGAAAGGAGGAGAGAAAGAGACATCAATGTGAGAGAGACACATCGATTGGTTGCCTCCCACACAGAGCCCCAATTGGAGCCTGCTCGAACCTGCAACCCAGGTACATGCCCTTGACCGGGAACCAAACCCTCAACCCTTCAGCGTGCAGACCGATGCTCTCACCACTAAGTGGAGGTTTCCAGTCCCAGAGCATCCCCTGAGCCTGCGTGTACGAACGCCGACAGCTTCACTGCAGTGTGTGCTCACCGCACTCACACTGTCCCCGACGTGCTGCTGTCGCCTGCCCAGAGGAGGCTGGGAGCGCTCCTGCCCATTCATCCCCACCTGCGGCACACAGGGCCCCGCCGGGACCCTGGCATCATCCACTCCGTGAAGAAATGGCCGATCGGGTGCCACAAGGGCCCCCAGGAGTCCAGTGGGGAGAAACCCTGCTCAGAAATGCATTTCCTGCAAATATCATAGAACACTTCTGGAACCTTCCTTGATTTGCTGATTTAAAAAAACAAAACAGTTATTTCTAGTCTTCTAATACCTATCTCAGTTAAAAAAAAAAAAATCACCAAAGCCCTGGCCGGTTTGGCTCAGTGGTTAGAGCGTCAGCCTGCGGTCCAGAGAGACCCGGGTTCGGTTCCCGTTAAGGGCATGTACCTTGGTTGCAGTTTGTCCCCGGCCCTGGTTGGTTGTGCAGGTGGCAACCACTCGATTTGTCCCTTTCCCATTGATGTTTCTCTCTCTCTCTCTCCCCCTCCCACTCTATCTGAACAAAATATCAAAAAATGTCCTCGGGTGAGGATAAAAATTTAAAAAATAAATAAAATTTTAAAAAATCACCAAAGACATCTTTCTGAAATCAAACTGCTTAAAAGCTTAAACTCAAGTCTGGCGAGACTCCCTTTCACAGGTTCACGGGGAACCACTTACTTAAAGCCCAGCGCTGTGCACGTGGCTGCACTGGGGTTTCAGCACCCACAGAGATGTCCACAGCCCTTCCTCCTTCCTCTCCTAAAGCAGGGTTCTCAGAGACATCTGGTAATACCTGGAGACATTCCTGTTTGTCACAACTATGGTGGGGGGAGGGTGCACTGGCATAGTGCGTAGGGGCCAGGGATGCTGCTACAAACTCTACATTGCAGTCTGGCTGGTGTGGCTCAGTGGTTGAGCATCGACCCATGCACCAAGAGGTGGCCGGTTCAATTCCTGTCAGGACACATGTCCGGGCTGTGGGCCTGATCCCCGGTGGGGGGCATGCAGGAGGCAGCCAACTGATATTCTCTCTCATTGATGTTTCTATCTCTCTCTCCTTCCCCCTTCCTCACTCTCTAAAATCAATTCTAAAAAAAAGAAAAAAGTTTAAAAAAACAACAACCCTACAATGCACGAGACAGCCCCTAGAACAAAAAGTCTCCAAGCTCCACAACAAGGGGAGAAACCTGCTCTATTGGCTCCCATCTCCTCAGTTCGAGTTTGTAACCTCGGGCAGACTGAGGAGCCAGGCAACTTCCATAAAAGGCATA